CAGTTTCCAATAAAAACTTTCCATCAATTCAAAATTTGCAACATAAAACACTTCTTCAACTGCTAAAACTTCAACCAACCGCATAGTGAACTACCATAGAAACGGATCATAAAGCGTTGTATTCCAATATCGCAACATTTTTTTTTTATTGGCTTTGTAAGCTTGTACAATGGCCATTATCTAAAGAATTTCACAACTACAAAAACTAATATAATGCTGACAAAAAAGTTTCTATTTTGTAAATAGGATTTTATTAATAGGAATAAAGAATCTGGTAAACATCTTTTAACTTTATACATTAATCCGGTATGCCATACTTTGTCAAATGCCTGCTTGAGATCCAAAAAAGCCGCAGAACAGTACTCTTTATTATGCAGCGCATTGTTAATTACGTTTATTATTCTGTGAACTTGCTCAATTGTTGAATGTTTGTCGCGAAACCCAAATTGATGGTTCGGAATAAAACTTTGTTCTTGTAGGATTATTTTAATCCGTTGAAGAATTAGCTTTTCAAATATTTTCGATATGCAAGACAATAAACTTATCGGCCGGTAGGAAGACAATAGATAAGGGTCTTTACCTGGTTTCACTATAAGGATTATTTTAGCTCTTTTCCAAGACTGCGGAAAAGTTTTCATTCTCAGTATAGAGTTATATATTATTGTGAGCATTCTAATAGCTTTTCTTGGAAGTTCTTTAAGCATTTTAATAGAAATCCGGTCTGGTCCAGGTGATTTTCTAGAATTTGCTTTTGCAATTTCTTGAGTTACTTCAGCCGCAGTAAAACGATTAACATCATGAGTCACTAGCGACGGTGAATCCTGAAGAAAATCATAAATGAATTGTTCATCATTAGAGTTGCATTTACGTGAAAATGGCTGATATGTGAGGCGCAGGTGTTCGGCGAATGCATTAGTTTTTTCTTCTGGACTTCTTGCCCATGAACCGTCTGTTTTTCTTAAAGGAGGAATTGGTACAATTGGTCTTTTCAATTTTTTGGTTGCTTTCCAAAGAGAATAATTTGTTTCACTACTTGCAGAAAGATTATGTAAGTAGTTTTCAAAAGAAACATTTTTATAATTTATTATTAAATTTTTCAGGTCTCTGCATGCACTGTTAAATTTTCTTTTATCTTCCGGTGATCCAGTTATTTGCCAAATTCTTCTGAATTTCCTTTTCTGTGCAATGATTTTTTTAATGGGCACAGAGTGACTGTGATTGTGATTTAGAATAGGAGTCGATATTTTAGCTGCTGCAATTAATGTATTTGTGAAGTTGTTGATACCGATATTCAAATCATTCTCACTTTTTAATGGAATATTACAGTTAATGGTGTCTTCGATGTATTCTTGGAAAAGAAGTCAATCGGTAAATTTGTTTGTAAGCGAACTCATGACTTTGGTTGGAGTATTAGTGGAGTATTTAAGAATTACTGGTGAATGATCAGAACTGAGATCCAGACTTGAATTTATTTCAACACTCTCGTTTTTAATATTTTTGGCTACAAAAAAATCGAGGAGGTCTGGAATTTTGTTCAAATCAGTTGGCCAGTATGTGGGCTCACCCGTAGAAAATGTCCGAAGATTATTATTATTTATTGTATTATACAATTGACGGCCTCTAGGTGTTATTAGTCTAGATTCCCAAAATGTGTGCTTTGCGTTATAATCACCTCCCGCAATAAACAAATTTCCAAGGCTGGTAAAAAAAGTTGTAAACTGATTTTCAGTAATAATGTGCCTTGGCGGACAATAGATTGCCGATACTGTAATTTTGTGAGTCATTAGGTTAATTAAAACATTTGTCGATTGTATGTAGTCAGTATAAAAAGGTTCTGTCTCGTAATGTCTTATGTTTGACTTTATGATAATGGCAGTGCCACCGCGAGGTCTGTCGTCCGGGTGATTTGTGGTATATGTGTGATAATTAGGAAAACGAATATTGTGATTTGTCTCGGTAAAATGCGTCTCGGAAATTAGCATAATGTCTACGTCATTGGTAGTTAAAAATTGTTTGAGTTCATGGACATGATTGCTCAAGCCGTTCGAGTTCCATATGCAAATTGTTAGTTGCATAGACATAATTATTTTTTATTAGATAAAATTGTTGTTAGTAAATTAAGCATTATGCTCATTTGTTCTGTCAATATTTTAATCATGTTTTTAAGTTCTGTTAAGTCATTAGATTTATTGTTAATATTGTTTTCAGAGTTACTATTGTTTATTGAGTTTGTTGAGTCAGTAGGTAAAGTTGGGTTGTTTCTAGTAATATTGGAGTAAGTTACGCTCGGTCTTAAAGTAGCATTTGGTTTTAAATTTTGCACATTACTTGTTTTCTGACGTAATGAAGTGTTTTTTTTTCAATATATTCTTTATAGACGTGACAGCCTTTATAGTTAGCAGGGTGATTTTCATTACAAAGGACACACTTCACTTGGTCGACCTTTTTCCCACTTGCATTTTTCTGTCAAGTGATTTTGAGCGCATTTAACGCATCTGGGGGTGCGGTGGCAATAATTTCTGGTATGACCATACCTTTGGCAGCGAGTGCACTGAACAATTTCTCTAGAGAACCTCTTTGCCTCTATTTCCACTTTAGTTTTATATAAAAAATCAATTTTATAAAAATCTATATTATTAGGTTGTTGTTCAAGCTCAATTAAAAACATGTTCAGAGGGAATTTTGAGATTCTGCTTTTAATGTTCTCAATACGAACGACTTTGTGACCTAACTGTTGTATTTCATTTTTGAGCATATCTGTATCCGTGCTGAAATGAAGGTTTCTAACCACTATTTTGAACGTTCTTTTACATTTCTCCTGGAAAGAATGCATTTGAGTACCCCTCTCTTTCAGAAGTTTGAGAATTTTATTGTAAAGTTTAGCATTATCAAGATTAACTCTAACCCGAGTTTCGTCAATAACTTTTATTTGATAAAGATTTTTTGCTTCACATTCTAAAAATTGAGCTAATGGTTTGATATCACGTACCTCATGTATAAAAATTGGCGGCGGTCTGTTAACTGGGCTGCATTTATCACTCGAGTCTTCGGTATTAGGATTAGCTAAAACTTCATATATATTGCTTGTGGGAGTTGGGTTTAGCCAGTAGTTCGAATTTGAAGATGTTTTTTTGCATGTTGATTCTTCATTTAAATTTCTTTTGAATTTTTTGTTTCTTACTTCAAACCATTCTGAATCCTTACTGGTGGTTGCTTCTTGATTAAATTCATTTAGGAAAATTGAGTCATTTTTCTGATGTAAAGAATCTTCTTCAACAATATCTGTATTAGACCTCTTATACTTGTTAGCACTCTTATAGACCTTTTTCGGTTCGACTGGGGAGCATTCTAAATCCATCTGATCGGTATCCGTATTTAAAATTTTTGACATTTTCAAGTAAAAGTTATTAATTCCCCCATAGGGGAATATTTCTCTATTACGTACTCACACAGGAATGTTTCTATTCAAATTTTTAGACCAAAATCATAAAATTCCTGCAAGTTATTTGCAAATTTATTGAATTTAATATTTTTCAGTATTATGAATGTCACAATATTTTGTTTTTTTTTTTTTGGTAATGATGTCCTGTATGTTGACGTCATTAATTACCGTATCCGGAGTGAGTTAAGAAACTGATCAGTTAAGTTATTAGGAAATGCATTGGTTCGAGTGGCTCCATTTTTCATAACCTTTATATGGTGCCAGATTTGTTGTGAAGACATGTTTCTGGAGAAGGAATTACAAAACTCTGTCCATTTATCGCTTTTTTTTAAATACAAATCGACACTTAGCTACCGCTCGCTTATATTTTATATAATTGTCTATGTTTGGTATTTCTTTGTATTTCTTAATTGCTTCCGATTTTATTTTCTTCACTTTGTTGCACTCCTCGTCCTACCAAGGATTTCACTTATTTCTATATTTCGTACCTAAATACGGATTTGTTTTTGGAATATTTATTAGTGCTGCATTATTAATGCATTCAATAAACTTGGAATAGCAAATCATCGGATTGGAGTTGAGATTAGTATTCGACAACATTCTGTCTACAGTTTGCGCATAACCTGATCAATCTGCATCTTTAATTTTCCACCGACATAAACCCTCTGAGTTTATAGCTTCACTAAGATTTATGCCTGCATTATTGTTTTTTAACCCTCTGAAACTTATATGGTGAGCATTACAGTCCCCTGCTAGTATTAACGGTTGATTTAGTTCCTGAAATAGCGACACCCAATATTCCGATCCTGTCTTGTGACCGGGGGCACAATAAATCGCCACAATATTAAGTGTTATGTTATGTATAGCCAGCTTAATTCCACAAATCTGAATTTTATTGGTAATGAAACTGTTTAAATTTAACGTCTGAAATCGGTATCTTCGGTGGATAAGTATTTCAACTCCTCCGTAACCATCTTCTCTATTCATTGATATAAAAGCGTATCCAGATATCTGAAATCTATTATTATCTTTGAGCCATGTTTCAGATAATATTACGATATCTATATGGTTGGTTTTCAAATAGGATTCTAGATGCAGCTTATTTGAAGAAACAGATCTGATATTGATTTGAATAATTTTTAGCATGATTTTTTTTAATGTTATTATCACTAAATATTTTAAGCTTCTATACGTAATATACCGTGCTTACAGTCCAATCAAACTTCTTTGTCGGGTCTAAATTTAGACCTCATCATTTTGTTTAGTATTTCTGACAACAGGTTATCATGTTCAGTGCTACTAGGAATGTATATATGTTTAATTTTTTCAATGAATTCGTTTAAGAAATTTAATGAACCATCTTGTTGAACGTTGCTATTATTTTTGACTATTGCAGATTCATGTTCCACGCTATTTATCAATATTACTTGATGTTAATAATTTAGCAGTTGTAATAATTATTGAAATTAAAAAAAAAAAATGTTCCACGCTCGGTTTTAACCTTTTTTTTAGGTTGAGGTTAAATTCGATTTTGTTGTTTCTATTTGATACAGGTTCCTTAGCTAACTGTTTTTTTTATTGAAGATCCAGAATTGAATGGAATATTGCGTCTGGTAATTTTGTAAGTCAATCTTTTAGGTTTATGAAAGGTTGTCGGATTTAAAAATTTCGGTTGCTCCTCCTCCTCTAGATCAGAAAGGGCGTCGAACCTATTTTTAGTTATTTTACTGTCTGTACTGGATGCAGGTTTCGCATACAAACCTGGAAATTCTTCATCTTTGCCCGTGAAACTGAATACGACTTTTGACTTGTTTGCATAGCTGTCTTTATACAATATATTTCTGGCTTCATGGTATGCTAGATTCTGCCAAGCAATAATTTCTTTAATTTTTTTATTTTTAATAATTACCGTACATTCTTTATCATTTGCAGGGTGATCCCCATTGCACAAAGCACATAAAAATTTGGATGCTATACATATTTTTGCATTATGTTCTCCGGAACATTTCATACATTTCTCTTTTCTTCTACATTGGTCCTTAACGTGATTGAACCGACAGCATTTGTAGCATTGGACCGCTTTCTGTACAAACGGTCGAACCTCACATTTTACCGAATGTATAGCTACCTTATTCGGTAAACTTGTGCCCCTAAACCTTATTTTGACACATTGTGATGAGTATTTTATTGTATTATTATTTTTCGGTCTTAAACATACCACGTCTATAATGCCTGTTTCAATGGCGTTTATAATTTCTTGTTCTGAGAGATTGGCATCCACATCAAATATTATGCCATGCCTTGCGAGTAGGTATTTCGGGATGTATGCCTCCAGATTATTTTTTTCTAAAATTTTGTCATCTAGAATTTTGTTCGCCACTCTGGCGCTTTTGAATTCAATCTTCACTTTATTTTTTCCTATAACCGAAACTTCTGTCAAACCAAATTTGAAATATGCCCCTGCATTATGTATGATTTTTTCCAAGGCCATCGGGTGCAGTCGGCCTATATTTCTGCCCTTGGATTCAACAAATATAGTGTAAGGGCCCATATCGCAACCTTCAAAACGTATCAAATTATTTAATGGATTAACTCTTTCATCTGATTTATTTTGATCGTTTATATTGTTGTCATCACTTATTAGATCTTTTGTTATTTTTATTGTTGTATCACTATTATCTGACGCTAAATTACTGTTTTTCCCTTTGTTTTTCTTTTGTTCTAGTTCGGACGTTGAAGTGAACGCATCGTCAGCTGTAGAATTGAAGTGTAAGTGTTACATAATCTCATAATATTATCTTGATAAAACGGAGTGCATTCAAACTATACGTGTATTGTTGACATTCTAGATGTGCGCATTTTCCTTGCGGGATATGCTCAGATTATAAATAAACTACGTCTATCAAAAGTGTTAAATTCATATTATATATATTGAATATAATAATATTCATATACTGTGAAATATTAATCAGTGTTTTAGTGTATGTGTTCTTCATCAAATATGAATACGAACGACCCTTCAGAGTGTTCATCAACATCATCGTTGCCAATAATGGAAGTCAACAAGGTTTTGCAAGACAATACCCGTAATAATACCGAATTAGTTATTCAGCAAATGAGAGAATTTCATGAATATTTGCAAAGAACCAAAAAAAAAACAAACGACAGCAATGCAATTGTAAATACATCTGAAATGGACACAAGCGATATCATTCGACAAGACACCAGTACTGATCAAGTCAGGGATGTACAACTTGCGTCATCCAATCAAGAACAGGGATGGACAACAGTTATGCATAAAAAAGACATCAATTTATAGCTAAATTAGTTCAAAAATCAACCAGGAATGTAAAAATGAATGAAAACGATACAAATAATTCCACAAGTTCTGTCTATTGGCTCAACGCAACCCCTGATAAAAATTCTTTTGAGATTTTAAGTAGTGAAGAACTGCGAACATACAAAATACTACTAATGTAATAAGACCGCCACCAATTTTTATCCATGAAGTTCGCGATATCAAGCGATACTCAACTGCTTGATACTGAAGCCAAAAATCTACATAAAATTAAAATAATAAATGCAACACAAGTGAAATTAACTTTAGAAAATGCAGAAACTTATAACAAGATCTTAAAACTACTAAAAATCAGAAATACCCAAATGCATTCTTCCCAAAACCGAACTAAAAGGCCACTGAAAGTCGTTGTTAAAAACTTGCACCATAGCACAGATACGGAAATGTTAAAAACTGAAATTGAGAAACTAGGACATACGGTAATAAATATCTCAAATATAAAAAGTAGGTACACAAAATACCCGCTTAATATGTTTTCGATAGATTTAGAGCAGAAGTCAAACAATACAGACTTTTATAAAATTAATATCCTCTACAATACCAGTGTTGAGATTGTGCCAAGCCTGAGAAATACTACAATGTTCAAACTGTCAACGTCTAGGACATTCCAAAAACTATTGTTCTAGATTGCCAAGATGGTGCAGGAATTCATTTATCCAAAGATTGTTCCTGGGATAAAATTAATAAAAATGTTAAATGTGTTTTATGCACAGACGGAAATCATCCAGCCAATTATAAAGGATGCAGAGTCTACCAAGAGCAACTTGAAAGAAAATTTCCAATTCTTTTTCACAAAGGCAAGAAAATAATGTAGTGCAACCAGGAAAGAGTTTTGCTTACGCAACTCGCCAAGATATGAATACAAATCAAACTTCAACGGATAACGCCAATGTAACGAACAACAATACCAACAACAACAACAATAACAACGACATTTCAGAACTAAAACAAATGATCAAATTATTAACAGAACAAATAAGTACAATCCTCAATCTATTAACAACCATCCTGTCAGAAAATAAGTAATGGCTACATCACTGAAAATTAGTTTATGGAACGCCAATGGCTTGTATCAACACATACAAGAACTTAAATATTTTCTATCACACAATTCAATCGATGTGCTACTAATATTGTTACGAATGTGTGGATGAGTACCCACACACATGTAAATTACATAGTGGCAACCTCTATGTGACAACCATCCCTGGTGAAGAGTATGGGAGAGTCCGCAAGTGGAATGAGTCGGATGTAGGCCCTCAGGGGTGTCGGGTCGAAAGATTCCGTTCTTTTATATAAGTCGAAGGGATGAGCGCGGTGCAGTGCGCGCAATGTTTTATCAAATTAATGTTGGTGATAATGTAAGTTAAAGTAATGTCATGGGGGGCAGCGTATCGGAAGCTGTAACAGTGTTAAATTCATATTATATATATTGAATATAATAATATTCATATAGTGTGAAATATTAATCAGTGTTTTAGTGTATGTGTTCTTCATCAAATATGAATACGAACGACCCTTCAGAGTGTTCATCAACATCATCGTTGCCAATAATGGAAGTCAACAAGGTTTTGCAAGACAATACCCGTAATAATACCGAATTAGTTATTCAGCAAATGAGAGAATTTCATGAATATTTGCAAAGAACCAAAAAAAAAACAAACGACAGCAATGCAATTGTAAATACATCTGAAATGGACACAAGCGATATCATTCGACAAGACACCAGTACTGATCAAGTCAGGGATGTACAACTTGCGTCATCCAATCAAGAACAGGGATGGACAACAGTTATGCATAAAAAAGACATCAATTTATAGCTAAATTAGTTCAAAAATCAACCAGGAATGTAAAAATGAATAAAAACGATACAAATAATTCCACAAGTTCTGTCTATTGGCTCAACGCAACCCCTGATAAAAATTCTTTTGAGATTTTAAGTAGTGAAGAACTGCGAACATACAAAATACTACTAATGTAATAAGACCGCCACCAATTTTTATCCATGAAGTTCGCGATATCAAGCGATACTCAACTGCTTGATACTGAAGCCAAAAATCTACATAAAATTAAAATAATAAATGCAACACAAGTGAAATTAACTTTAGAAAATGCAGAAACTTATAACAAGATCTTAAAACTACTAAAAATCAGAAATACCCAAATGCATTCTTCCCAAAACCGAACTAAAAGGCCACTGAAAGTCGTTGTTAAAAACTTGCACCATAGCACAGATACGGAAATGTTAAAAACTGAAATTGAGAAACTAGGACATACGGTAATAAATATCTCAAATATAAAAAGTAGGTACACAAAATACCCGCTTAATATGTTTTCGATAGATTTAGAGCAGAAGTCAAACAATCAAACGTTTTTTAATAGATTTAGAGCAGAAGTCAAACAAACTGTCAACGTCTAGGACATTCCAAAAACTATTGTTCTAGATTGCCAAGATGGTGCAGAAATTCATTTAACCAAAGATTGTTCCTGGGATAAAATTAATAAAAATGTTAAATGTGTTTTATGCACAGACGGAAATCATCCAGCCAATTATAAAGGATGCAGAGTCTACCAAGAGCAACTTGAAAGAAAATTTCCAATTTTTTTTCACAAAGGCAAGAAAATAATGTAGTGCAACCAGGAAAGAGTTTTGCTTACGCAACTCGCCAAGATATGAATACAAATCAAACTTCAACGGATAACGCCAATGTAACGAACAACAATACCAACAACAACAACAATAACAACGACATTTCAGAACTAAAACAAATGATCAAATTATCAACAGAACAAATAAGTACAATCCTCAATCTATTAACAACCATCCTTTCAAAAAATAAGTAATGGCTACATCACTGAAAATTAGTTTATGGAACGCCAATGGCTTGTATCAACACATACAAGAACTTAAATATTTTCTATCACACAATTCAATCGATGTGCTACTAATATTGTTACGAATGTGTGGGTGAGTACCCACACACATGTAAATTACATAGTGGCAACCTCTATGTGACAACCATCCCTGGTGAAAAGTATGGGAGAGTCCGCAAGTGGAATGAGTCGGATGTAGGCCCTCAGGGGTGTCGGGTCGAAAGATTCCGTTCTTTTATATAAGTCGAAGGTATGAGCGCGGTGCAGTGCGCGCAATGTTTTATCAAATTAATGTTGGTGATAATGTAAGTTCAAGTAATGTCATGGGGGGCAGCGTATCGGAAGCTGCCCCAAACCGAATATAGACTTTTTGTAATTATAAGATGTGATTTGTGTGAGAAGTGAATCGGGCCCGATGTATGGACAGGTATTGGACACTGGTTGCGCCGTGGGTACAGAGATAAGTTTAGATTTAAGTTGTAGAGTTCAGATTGATTAAGTAGAGAATAAGTATGTAAATATATAAATATATAATATTGTTTAGTTAAGTTACGAACAAACGCCTCTCATTACTAGTAGTTGTAAATTTAAATAGTCTTTCAGCAGTACGCGATAAAAGGTAACAGTGAGTTTAACTAACTAACAATAAAATAAGGATTATAAATGAAATAAATAAAAGCAATTCGTAACAAATGGTTTAACGATCAAATGATTAAAAAGAATTAATTTATTTTGGCAATCATTTGATCCACCATCGACGGCATTATTACGATCTCGGTAAAACAATTTTATTGTTGGTTCATTCGCGGTTATTTTTCCTTGCGTGTAAGTTTACAGTTTCGTCGTTGCATTTTTTTTATTTTTTTTGTTATTGATCAATTTCGGGGTTCGATTTGTTTTTTCGCAAAGATTCGGCATTTCTTGATTACGCGTTAGTATTAAATTGGTATTCATGAAATGATTTGTTGAACTCTTGGTTGTCATAGTTGAGTGTACAAAAGATTGTTGGAACACTTAAAATTATGAAAGTATAGCGCAATTTGAAATAATGTTTAGCGGTACATATAAATTGAAAGGTTGTTATGTGATCAAAGGGTTTTTCTATGTATTTTGGGGCTATTGTAAACGTAAGTTGCGAAATTGGTTGGCGCAAAAATGAATAATCAAGTAGTTCAAGTAATTGTTAGAATTTTGATTTGTGGATTTTGAAAATGTATTTAATTGGTAAAATTTAAAGGTTGTTTTATAATAATTTTGAAATGCTGAATCAATTTACTGTATTTGTATTTTTGTTCGTTAACGTTTTTTTTTGTTCAGTA